CTACCATCAGCTAGTACAAATCAACCAGATGTCTCAACGCTGTCCAGTACTGGTATTGCTGATCATAATGGCGATAATTTAAACGATTTATTTTTATCTGCTTCAACACGACAATCGCAACTTTATAGTTGTACAAGCTGAGGTGCATATGACTAATTCTCCTGTGCCGTATAATCAACGTACATCAGAAAATACTTTATTAGCAGACATGGGGCAAAACCGACAGCTTCATGCCCAAGAAACTATTCAGCAATAAGCTGGTGCCTCGAATGTACATATTTTATCTACTCAAGACATTGTACATGATCAGGAGCGTGATAGATTAAATCAAGACACGATTATGGACCAGGAATTACCTCCACAAGACGGAGAAGCCGTTCCTTCCAATTCTTCGGAACAGTTTATTAATACTTCTATTGATGAACAAATTGATATGGACGTAGATACTTCTTTACCGTATAGTAATTTTCCACGACTAAAAAGAGCTCATCAGGAATTTAAAAAAAAGTTTCTAGACAATCCTTTTGGATATCCATGTTCAGTATGTGACAGGTTGTGGTTTCAAGATGACTTGAAAAGTCCGTTTCCTGAACATAAAGAAATTTTAACACAAATTATACCATATACACCAGCGAAAAATACGAAGCTTTGCAACACATGCATACAAGCGTTAAACATGAAGAATATTCCTTCAATGTCCACATTCAATGGTTTTAAATATCCAGATATACCTCAACATCTGCCACCTTTAGATCTTGTTTCCGAAAGACTAATTTCACCTCGTATTCCCTTCATGCAAATCAGAAGACTGAGGCATGTCAATGGTCAGTACGGTATTTTCGGTCAAATAATTAATGTTCCTGTTTCAGTTAATAATATGGTGAAATCTATTCCAAGGAATATTGATGATGACTATTGTATAAATGTACATATCAAACGAAAGAAAATTCATCGGTCGAGCTACTTACAAAGTACTGTTAATAAGCGTACTATTAAAAGTTGGCTCAATTTTTTAATTCCGTCACCATTGTATACTATGTACGATATTAAAGTTGATCAGTCATTTTTTAATGATAATCAAATTCACGATGAAACTCCGCAAGATGATTTCAGCGAACATATTCCTGTAGAAGATGCAGACATTATTGTTGAATGAAGAACAATACTTACGTATTGCACCTGGTGAAGACAATGTACCTCAAAGCTTATTATTTGATGAACATGCAGAGGAACTTTCCTATCCCGCAATTTACTTGGGTCAATTCAGTAATTTTAGGGATGGTGTTAAAGTAACCCCTTTCATGATGGCTTCTAGCGAGCTAAGAGAGATCTGATCGTCGTGCAGTTACGCCGTATCATTTATTATACATGGTGATGAAGATTATGAGGATGCGAGTTCGGGATTCTCTCACAGTTGCGTTCAAACACGTTGGTAAAGATACCGAAATTACTCGGAAACAAATATAAGGTCCTTACATATGAAATTGGCGTTTTGTCTGGGAGGATCAAAAAGTTGAATATTTTTAAATATAATATATTTAATTAATCAAAGTATGAACCAAGCTTTTTAATCTTCCCAATTTGCTTCAAGTGAATTAAAACAGTTTTATCACTAACACCGCAGCCTGCAGCTAACTCGGACGTGGTTTGCGATGGATCCGCTTCCACAATAGCCTTCAATACTTCATTATCAACTTGGGTCTCAGGCCGTCCACGGGGCTTGTTCTGCAGGTCGAAATTTCCAGAACGAAAACGTTGGAACCAAAAACGAACTGTGTTTTCTTTTGCAACATGATCGCCATACACATCATTCACCCTTCGAGACGTTTCCGCAGCACTAGTGCCACGGCGGAACTCGTACTCGTAAATAATGCGATACTTTAAGTTTTCCATTTTGTAAAATGAGTGACGCAAACAGAAAAAAACAGAAGAAAAATGTTGTTTTTCTAAAAGTAATTCCGAATTCAACATGGTATTGGATGAGTCGCAAAAAAGATATTTTTGCTATGATCAGACAGATTGGTAAGCCGACTATATTTCTTACCGTCAGTGCCAATGAAATTGGATGGAACGATCTGCTCCAAACGCTCTACAAATTCAAACACAACGGTGAAACTATTTCAGAAGAAATCGCCGAGCTTCTCCATTATCTTGAAAAAAAACAACTCTTATTAATGAGGATGCACTTACTTGTGCTATATATTTTAATAAATTGGTTAACGTATTAATGAATCAAAATTCAGTCCGTTTGGGAAATATTATGTTGTTCATAATTTTAAAGCATTGAGTTTCAGGATCGTGGTAGTCCACATGCGCATATGCTATTGTGGCTAGCTAATGCTCCAATGGCTGCACTTGAAAATAATAGGTTGAATGCTATTGCATTAATTGATAACCTGATATCTGTTTCATCTCGAGAAGCATCGGGTAACATTAAATTACAAAGAGATAAACATACATTCACGTGCTTTAAAAATATAGTGGCAAATCAACCTCAGCATTGCAGATTCGAAGCACCTTTTATGCCTTGCCGATCTACTACAATTTTATTACCTATGCAGAAAGAGGAACCTGGTTTCAAGGATTATGCTAAACGTTACAAAGATATCCGGATTAATTTAGATAATCATCATTATCATGATATTGATTCTTTTTATGAGTAACAATATTAATTCAGATGAAGATTATCACAATATACTTCGAGCTGGAATTAAGAGGCTACGAGTTTTTGTCAAGCGTCAACCATGTGAAGAACCGATCCATTTAACACCTTTATATTTTTTAATATTGTTAAATCCAATAAGGATATTCAATTCATTACCGAAGAATATTCATGTGCTTATTATGTCGCAGAGTATGTCAATAAAACTAACAGAGGCATTAGTCATCTTCAGCGATTGATTATTGAAACTATGAATGACATCCAGAGTTTGATGTCGTTGAAATTACTAGGAAAATTGGTGTAAATATGCTCAATAGTGTTGAGATAACAAGTCTGGAGGCGGCTTGGAATCTCTTACGAGAACCGATGTCGAAGTGTTCTACTGTAGTCACTACTATTCCCACTATGTGGCTATGTGATCGTCAACATATAAAAAAAACACAAAAAGAATTAGACGCGATAGGCATAGGAGAAGATTCAACTAATATTTGGAAAGAAAATTGGTTTGATAAATATGAACGCCGACACGAAGATTTGGAAAATATTACTCTTGCCCAGTTTGTTGCTACATACTTGCTAATTACACCATTAATGCAAACGGACTTACACCAAAAGAAAACTGCCGCGTGATATCCGATACCGAAATTTTGATATGGGACAAGATCTTAATGAATATAAACGTGAAATGGTTACTTTACATATTCCTTTCCGGAATGAAGATGCAGAAATACTCGCGGAAATGAAGTTTATCGATAAGTAGTTATAATAGGAATGAAAATGAAATTTTAAATAAACGAAAAGAATTTGAATCTAGTTGGGACATCCAGAAAGTAATTGAAATTTCTCGAAATTTGGTTTGAATGATGAAACTGAAGTACAAGATGTTGCAAACATCGCATCTGAACCTAATCCATTCCAAAATGTATATAACAATCCTCTTTCTGAAATGAATAGTGATCTTCGTCTAGCAGGACTTAATAAGCTTGGATTTATTGCTAAAAAACGAGAAAATTTGATACCAAATACAGAATTTTATAAATTGAAGGAGGAGGAGCAACAAGGAGAATGGCAAATGATAAGCAAAAAAAACTTTTGTTACATGTCATTTCAAATCTATTAAATCCGAACCGTAGTCTATTTCAAATATTTATTTAATGGTAATTTACATTACTCCAAACAAAAAAATGGACGACATCATACATTTCCTGAAAAGAATATTATGGCCATATACAAAAGCTGGAGGAGAATATCTTAGTAGAGGAGAAGATAAATTACCGATAATTTTAAGCGGAGACTTCAACGCCAATTTTTCCCGTGAAGATGCTCGTCCACTTATTGATTTCCTCCAAAATTACTTGAATCTAGCCATGAATAATAATCCTCTGATTTCGACAACACGACACGGCACTACCATAGATGCTGTATTTTCACGATAGTCGATATCTATAGGCAGCGGCACGTAAGTCTAGCGCTGGCCGATACGTGGAGGGGATTGCTGCGCATGTGCGGGGGACGGAATGCGACTGGAGAGCCAATCGACGCTACGTGCGCCCGCTCTTCATTCCGCTAGCCCCCTCAGGTACCTTATTTTTTACTTCTGCGCAATAACGGTCAGCGCTAGAGTTTCGTGCCGCTACTTGTAAACGCCGTTAATACAAAAAATTTCATATCGTACTTTAGTTATCATAGGCCACTAATAACTAAAGTTCAAATTCAGACATTACCGGAAGATGCTACGGCATTGGACATAATTTAAAAACAACATTCGAATAATAATAGAATTTATGTTACACTTAATGTAAGGGAATAATAATGTAAGAGAATAATAATAAATATTTATTTATTTAATTTTTCAAATGTAAACTGAACTTTATTGACTATAATGACTCCTTTTCCAGTCTTTGATTATTTAATTGTAATTAATTATTTGCATGCAATCAAAAACTATTTTTAATAATGCCAAAGAAGTATAACTTCTTTCTCTGCTTTTTTTACCTTAGGCACTAGTCTTCAAAGATTTCTCACCACTCACCAGTTAGTAGAATTGTTTAGAACAGAATAGGTATATAAATACAGGCAAGAAAGAGATGCATAGTGAATGACGTCAACCTTATTATCTAAAGTAGTCTCAGTCAGCTTTCAAAACAAACCTACGCGTTTCGTTTAGTTTGCGACTTGCGTCTTGGAACATGGGTAGTGAGTGTTCATTGAACTCGTGCTCTTTGATTTATTTTATTTAAAACACTTAAAAGTTTTTTACAAAAAAACTTCTAAGATTCACCATATTTGGTAACGGCTTATTAAACATAATAAATATTAGTTCAAATCAGTATTTATTATGAAATTCTTAACATATGTTGTGTTATTGACGCTTCAACTGAGTTCATGTAAGTATTTTTTTTATATTTTTTTCTTAACTTTATAATGCTTTAAGAGTGATGGTCATATACTTTTCATATATTTATATTATTATTGTTACTAAGGCATCAAATAATAATCTGTTGGTAGTTGCCAATTAAAATAATACGTATTCTAACAATTAACTCTTGCATATCTAAGGTTATCATGTCAAGGGCAGGCAATATTATGTATAAAAAAATGTGTATATAAATTCAATTATGTGTATTTCAATAATACTTATTATATTTATAATATACATTTTCTTTGTAGTAAATATAAGTGCAAGTGCTATATCATGCACACACATTCATAGTGCTAAAACATTATAAAATAATAAGACCGTTAATAAACATCTTAGTTTAAGCTTTGTACTAGTACGGTAGTGGTACATTATATTACCATAATATTACTTATTAGCCATAACTATTGTTATAGGCTACATTGTAATTCATATAAAGTAGCTCTCTCTTTTGTAGACTTATCCAAAACAACACCTTTATCCCGATAAGTGTTAATAAAACAAAGAAACCTCACGAAGCGACAATAGATATGATAACAATTAGTCAAACGAATCTTTATTTTTTTCATTAATATTTCAAAAAATCCTAGATGAATGTATCCCATCATATACGCCTTTTTTCAGGTTGGAGCAAGGAGAAATACAGCCCCGTTAATGACTTTCTCTCACATGAGGCTGGGGGTCAAGTTTTACCTTATGATAAGAACAGTAATTCTCAATTTCCTACATTAAAACTACCTTCTTCAGTGTCTACAGCTAAGCCGCAAGTAACTAGTCCTAATAATAAAAGGGATTATGTCGCACCTCAATTCCCAACTTTGCGCCCTATAACAAAGCCATCCACTTTGCTTGTAACACAAAATCCTCTTCCAAGTACACAGTCTTCTAAAAGAGACTACGTTGCACCACATTATCCAACGTTAAAACCTTCTTCATTGCCAAACAAAGCAAATTTAGGAACAACGACGAAGACTTCCATAAATCCAAAAAGAGATTATGTAGCGCCAGCTGTTACGACACCAAAACCTCTACAAGATAATGCCAAAGCACAACAAGGAAAAGTAAAAGAGTTAATTAATTTCTATGACGGAAAAGGTAACCAAGGAAGTACAGTAATACCTAAGGTACCTAGTTATAGTTCGATTCTTAAGGGTCCTACAGTTGGACCACAGCCAGTGACGCCATCAAATGGATTAGGTCTCTCCACTAAACCTAGTTTTAGTTCAATCGCATCTGGAAATAGAAACAGCAAGCCAAGCACTCAAGCTTCGACTACTAAAGTGGGAGCTACTGGTGGTGGAAATTTACCCAGCTCTATTTTAAACAACAACAAAAACCTCCAAGGCGCAAATTCTCCTACTGATGCTGAATTACAAACATTCTCAGAAGAGTTGCTAAAAAAAGATGTCAATAATGCTGCCAAATTAGTCACTATCAGTTATCAAGAGAAGACCTCGTCCGGATCAAAAGATGATAAGGCTCCGCGAGCGTAAGTAAAACTCTTTTTTACCGCTTCCGAACCTGTCAGAAATTGTCATTGAGACAAAACATTGAGATATGTCAATTTCCTCGAAAATAGGCAACTTAATTTGTTTTGAAATTTTAACCTTGTCGGCGAGGTAAACATAATACGTTATTGTTTACAGATTACTCACTATATCACCTGAAGTATGGAATATACCAACAATACAAAAGTTTTTACCCCTATTAGATAACTATGAAAGAGATACATTGATTAATGAGCATGTAACACCTCAGGTAAAAATTAGTGTATAATAGTTATTTAACATTCTGCAATGAGGTGATAATACATCTCTTTGTAAAACAAACATTTAAAATGCGCATTTGATTTGGATTAAAATTTATAAAGAATTATAAGTAATTTATTAATTTAAAGTACGCAATTGAATGTTATGGAAAATCACAGGAAGTCTTAATAGGAATAGATAAGAATATACATTTGAACAAACAAAGCTAATCCTGATCAATCAATTCCAATATTGTTTATAGAAGATCTTCTATTATGATTTAAATAATTAAAGTTTTAATACATTTTGAATATTCGTGAACGGGCCTAAAAACAAAATATAACGTATTTTAATAGCTATCATGTACACAATGTTATTAAACTCTTAAGTACTTAGGTACCTACTGTATGCATGTACCTGTGTTTAATTATTTAAATTTTTAGGAGAGAAATGAAGAAAATGCTTTCATGGATGCTATTATGTCCACAAATGTTATTCGTCACCTGATGAGCTTTTTGAAAGACAAAGGTATTAAAATATGTTACTAATTCAGATAGGTACATTCTAATTGAGATAATTTTATCAAGGTTAATAACTATGTTAACGTATTCGTTTTAGGATACGTTACTCAAGATCCACGCCAGCAAAGAGAATTTTTAAAACAAATGTGGTTTGGGTTGTATTCAAGAGGAAAAGGAAAAATAAGCAGCTCAGGTTTTGAACACGTTTTTGTATCGGAATTGAAAAATTCCCAAATATCGGGTAAGCTATAAAAGCATTATGTTTAACTTTCACCAGTCTCTGTATGTTTGCCTAAGAACGGATTTTGTATGTTGTAGGATTACATAATTGGATTTATTTCTCCAAAGAAGAAACTGCAAACCGAGTGAATTATTTGGGATACTTAAAGTATGCTAATTTGGCGGAGGTAAGTATCGTTAACTGATAACCTTTACACAGTTGAGTATCTAATATGAGCATTTGTACCTTTATTAGAGGAACTTTAAAAATTATGTACGTTATTAAAATCGCCAGTCTAAAAACGATTTATCGAATTCGAGCCAATTTACCTAACAACCAACCTAAAACTTATCTTCAGTTTAATTTATTCAATAATGACTGACAAATGACAAGCACCAACACAAAATATTTTTATAATTTTTCTACAGTCTATATAGAAGTATAAAATATCTATATGTTATTACAGAAAGGCGCTGTTTTGAAAATGCATTTCAATCAGCAGGGCGTCGACAAGCCAGTTGGAACGATGTTTATCGGCACTTCCCCTGAATTAGAAATGTCACTTTACACATTGTGTTACGTCACTAGAGTAGACAATGATTGCAAACTAAAATTAGGAAATAACGAAGTTGATATTGTAACGTACAATTTTCGCTATAGAAGCAAGAATTACATTGGCAGCGCTTATCCACAGATATAATTTACAAATGGTAGTTTTGTGAAGTCCCAGCCAACGATTTAAAACTTATTTTAAATTTTACAATATTTTGAGAGATAAATTTTTTAGGTTAATATGTTTTTGGAAGATTGAAAGACAAGTGATAAAAAATAATACTCAGTGTAATATGTAACTAAATTTAGTTCGATCAAACTTTTTGTTTTATTTTTACGATCTAAACCAGTGATTCCCAAAGTGGTCTATATCGACCCCTAGGGGTCTATGACAACCTGCAAGGGGTCTACGTCAGCGAAAAAAATTTGGGGGTCCATGAAATGAAAATGGGGGTCCACGATAGTGGATCTCAACACATACACTGATAGTACCTATTTACTTACATCATTCTATCTTATAATATCAAAACATATACATTATTTATAAAAGTACCTATGAAGTAAAAAAATATTATATATTATGTTTATAAAATTGTGTAAGTTGTAGGATGTTGGTATTCGCTTTGTGGTCGCAATACATTTTGAATTTGTAAAAACCTGAGAGTCGCAGTCTCAGAGCTTTGCTAACTAATTAATTTTATTAAGCTAATTTTATTTTGAGTAGTTTTAATTTAAATTCAATTAATAAATGTATAAATTAACATGTGTTTTTACTTTAAGTTTTTAACACTAAACTTCACTACAGAAATCAATATCAGGTAAGTAGGGGTCTACCCAACTCGGAAAAACATGGCAAGGGGTCTACGACACAAAAAAGTTTGGGGAACTCTGATCTAAACGATACCTTAACTGTAAAACTATTTACATTAAATTATTATTATAAATAAAGTTAGTTGCGACAGGGAACACTAGCGCCTATCGAAATTGCAAATGGTCCCGTTGATAAGTTTGCTAATGTCATTTCCATGCAATTTTTTATTATTGCGATAGTGGGTTACGCTAGTTGAAATGTACTGTATTAATCTATAGAAGGTTCAATTTAAGATCTGAAGTTCGAAGAACGAAAGTGAATTTAGTGTTTGAGGTACCATAGTAATAACAGAATGGATTTTACCTATTTTTGGTCGTAGTTTTCCTTTAAAGCTCAAGACAATTCAATAGAAGAACGCTTTCTTTACTGTATGGTATTGTATGTATGTATTAAGCTTTAGTGCGAAAGGAAGGGAAATATCTATATAATAGGAAAAAGACCGCGCGAACATCGATGATCATCGACCTCAGTCATTCCTCACTGTCGATTTGTCGCTGTGACCGAAATTGGTTATGTAATTTCAAATTTGTCCACGCGCAGGCATCACTTATGCCCGCGTATTAATCCTAAGTCTTACTTAGATTTAATAAGTGATGTGATAATAGTGGTTAGGTGTCTTAACAACCTAATAAAAAAGTAGAAAATGCACGGTTTATGTACGAATTTCAATACATTATACAAAATTTTAAATCATATTTTTAATACTAAGACGCAACTCCGGCAGCAAAAATCAGTCCCCCAGGTCCTCCGAGACACCTACATAATCAGTAGCATCAAATTCGGGCGACGTAATTCTAAATCCAACCCCAAGTATCGCCGATAGCTCTAGTCCAAAACTAGTAGTCCTCCTCTTCGTGCTTTTCTTCTATTAAAATCTTAAACAAGGTGAGTTAACCCAATCGAATAAAACTAGAAACTATTGAATTTATTACAAAGATACCTATTTTAAGTATTTATATCTTAGTTATTTAGACGGCTAATTCTAGGAAATTTGCGCGATACTAGATTAGAAACGCCAAAAGCACCTCGGAGCAGCTTTCTCACTGAAGACCTGTATTGTTATATTAATTACCTTAAGGAACTTTACGATTAAAAACGACGATATTCATACGACACTTTTGAACATCTAAAAAGTAAACAATTGTATCTTATAAGGCTATGTTCACATTAACCTTAACCTCAACATCAAATTTGAAGAGCGTTCAGATGATGAGCGCTAACGCGCGTTGCAGAGTACTCGTCAGTCTAGTTCGGTAGAACGTAGAAAATTGAGTGGAAGAGGCTATTATTTTGTGGTTATATATAAAGAAAAATATAGAAAAGAAAACGTACAATTGGGTTTATCAAGAAAAAAAATAAATATATTATATTATACAAATTTCTATATTCCAATTCTGACCTTTTTTCTATCATCGATAGTAAGTCGATGTCAATATTTAATTTCACTCATTTAAAAGCGAGAACAAAATATAATTACAAAATAATAAAATTCCGCGATCGCGATGAAAGCGCGCGTATGAAACGAAAATTAAAGCGGTCAACGCGCGATACCTCGTCTAGAGACTTTTTCTCTGACGCCGCGTTGACGCGCGTTAACGCGCGTACATGAACATGTATGAAAAATACAAATCCAGCGCGCGATTTAAAACCGTCAAGTTTTTCCATTGAACATAGCCTTAATTAGAATTAGTTATTATTTCGACACCAATGAAGTTAGCGATATTATTTACGTCCTGGTCGTAGGTATTTTAATCCTACCGAACTAACATGGCAATGAGCGACGTGGCCGTTTTTGACCATCGTTTAGTATAAATGAATTTGCAATGGTGTTAAATTTATCGACAAATGTTATCTCAATTTGAATGAAAAAAGAACGGTTTTTAGTTAATTACATTTACCTTGCACTGTTACGATAATATGCATATTACAACTATACTCTTGCACGTTGAATATTTATAGAAAACTAAACATCTTATTTAATTTAATTTAGGTACCTATGTACAATAAAAAAACTAAAATATTTTAAAATCCTTATTGAGTATAAATGGGAGCTCGTTACTTGATTTAAAAAAACAACGGGAGCACTCCGGGAGTGCCGGCAGAAGTGAAAACTTCAATATTAACGTTGTGTTTAATTATAAGTATAAAAGTACTATCATTTATGAGGTAGAATACAATGTTTATTTATTGCGCTATCGTACACAAATATGACAATTTATATGTTGTTATTTATAATATTATATCGTTATTTATATATTACATTAAATTTTATCTCTCAGAAAAATCAACTTCCATCCATAATTTCGACGACTTTTACACCATCGTTATTATCAGAATCATCATCGCAAATTTTTACAACTGATACAATTGGTTTATGATAACTGAAGTAAGAAACAAACAGTTTTGATTCGAACCTATTTAAGTGTCTAATAAAGACCGTACTCATTTGCTTTTATATCACTTTTTTCATTAATAGATTCACTTTGTTCGATTTCCATAATTTAAACAATTCACATTTACGAATACACAACAGTGTATTTACTACACAACAGTCAAGCAATCAGCTGTCACCATCCTTGGATACGCGTGGGACGCTGTACATAAACACACACGGTCATTCGCGCAAGCGCCCTGTGCCGCCTAAACAGAGCAGCACACTCAGGCACGGTAGAAAGAGTGGGAGATACTAGTTCCTCTCCCTTCCCCTCGATCTTACGCTTTTTCGATCAGCATCACGTGACCCTGACGCAAGTTTGAAAGTTTTTACCCATACAAAAAGTGCTCAGCGCCGCTAAAGAAGTTTTCACTTCAAAAAAAATGTTTATTATGGATCATAAGATACAGGTAGCACTTATTCCACGTCATTAAATTTGCATCCCTACTCATCGGCAAAGAAGACGGACGGTGTAGGCCAAGAGAAAAAACCCGGCGTAAAAAACTCTCGGTACTCTTTTTAAATAGCAAATCATCAAACAACACTTTTTTTTAAACAAATATCGCAAATTAATTAGAAGAAGCCTGTCTAGAATTAGTCCCAGGCCCTTTTATCAACTAGATAATCGTTTAACTTACGTAACTTTATAGTAAGCCTTTTTACACAGCTTTTCTATATATAATACACATTTTCATAAATTTATCAAAAGGCAGAGACAAAAGAGCCTCTGGGATTAGCCTCTACATACTATATTGTGCAGTATTTTCTATAAGATTTTGATGTATGTGGCAACATAAATATAGGACGCTAAGAAAAGAAGAAAACAGACGTCACTCAGAGGAGACTTTTAAGACGAGTGAATATACATATATGTTCTTTTCTTGAGCGTTTCTATGAGAATATGAATTAATTACTCGTGTTTGTGTTGAATAAACCAATTAACAAAGATAACAATGGGTTGTGATTTATAACAAGATAGAGCTTCCCATAATTGCATATAATTTTCATCTTCCATCTCATGAAAAATAATAACTTCTCTAATCTATAGCCTATACCTAGTTGGTCTCTACTCTCTTGCAACTTGACTTCAACCGTCAACGTAATAAAGTAGAAAGTAAAACTAATTTAAAATAAGTAAAATATGTAAGTATAACATATTGCAGCGTTTCAGCAGCAGCAGAAACATTTTATAACTTTAAAAAACAAGAAACAAAAGCTTTAAGTAGTGTGATATACTAATACTAAATCTAAAATATTTGGTTCTGATTTTGTAAGAGATGGCCTTACTATTCAACATTTGAAAATACTCACTTAACTTTGATTAATGCCCCAACAACTTCATTTGTGCACGGTCTACTGACACTTCTCTATTCTAGCTGTACAGGCAAGCTTACAGTACAAAAATTACTTTTTCGACTTTCTTCATACATTGTACGTTTTGACGTAGCCCCCTTGAAGCATTCTGATTTCTGACCTCTACTTGATTTGTGCATTTATCAAAATAAGTTAGATAAGGTATTAAATTGCCTGCAACAAAAGAGAATAAAAATATGCATGCATTCAGCTTAGTCTGTAATCAACTTGGGTAAAATGCCTACTATTTTAAAATAACATTAGAATATTTTACAATTATATCTTATTAAGTTTAAGTTTTTTTCTTAGACACTAGATATTTGTACAATATATAAATTGGCACAGTAATTGATTTTTATAATTAATTTTTTTCGGTGATTTATATTTGAGCTGGTAACACTATTTTTCTACTTCTAAGTGATTCTAACCTGTGTTTATAACTTTCGTAGTGTGAAGTGTGAACAAGTGTTTATTTATCTTACTGTTAACTGTTAAGCGAAGTTGAAATAATAGTAACGAAACAATTCGTGCTTATAAATTTAAAAAAAATGTGTAATAGTGGCCCGTAAATTTGAAAAATTATTATTCATTATGAACACGAGTTTTACGTAAGAAATTTTAAAGAAAGTAGTGCTATTTTTATTCTTTTAATATGAATACTTCATGTGCCAGCAGATTTTTAAAAATTAAACGCAGTCTAACACATAAAGACGTTTTATGCTGTCTTTTTATAACTGCGAAAAGATTTTCCACTAGGGAACTCTTAAATGAAGCGTACTGTCGCACAAAACTAAAGTGTCGTTGTAAGTGTTATATAAACATTTTATTTACAGTAAAATTATCAAACAATAGTTTTTATACAACATTAATTTTTTAGCTAAAAAGCTCCCACAAGATGTCAATCCCCAAGGAGTTTTTGCATGCAATGAGCTTGATCTTTCTGAGGTGAAGGTATATGGGTTTGATTATGATTATACACTTGCTCATTATAAGCCCAGTCTTGAACATTTACTATATAATCTGGGACGGGACATGCTACTCGAAAAATACAAGGTAAGAATATTTTATAAACAAAAACAATAATATGTCATCAAAATTATCTCACATAAATATTCTGTTTTCCATTATATACATTCAGTAATCAATAAAAAATAAAAAACACATTAACATGCAGTATTTATGTATGCAGATTTTAAGAAAATTTGAATCTTCAATAAAGTTTTGACAGCCTTGCCTTGTAAATACACTCGAGATTGGTGAAAATAAGTGTTCATTAAATAACCTATATTTTTCCTTACTTCCCTAAGGAATTAGAGGTGAGTTCTAGTATTTATATGTAGCTAGTTTGCTTTTCTAATTGACATGTTGTGATGTATATGTGATAGTAAGTGTTCAAAGTTATTTTATAATTATTTTGTATTTAGTTAATTTTATTTATTTTCAGTACCCTGCTGGAATAGCTAATCTGGAGTACAAACCCGACTTTGCTGTTCGAGGATTGCATTATGACATTGAAAAGGGATTACTATTGAAATTAGATTCATTTCTACAAATACAGTTTGGGGCTGTTTACAGAGGGTTGACACCTGTACCAACTGAGGAAGTTCTTAAACTGTATAAAAATAGAATTATACCTATTGCATATGTTGAAGGTGACACAAGGGCTCACAAGGTAAAGATATGATTTATGTTGTACAACCTGAAACCAAAAATTATATATATGTTTATATTCTCATTTCACTGCTAATATTTTCTTCTTTTTAGGAAGTAGGCAATCTTTTGTGGATAACCCACATTGCTTAAAACTACTTCTTTTACATAATATACATATAGGATTAGTTTGGACATTTATTCTAGACTATATATACAAAATTATAATATTAATGTGTAATTTAAAAATTGCTTCACTTCATATTGAAAATAAAATACTAGTTCAATGTTTAGTTCTATGAAAATATTGTGTTGTAAGCATGAATGTGTGATACATTAAAGTATTGATATAATGAACACAGCACTTGTAAGCAATCATTCATTTGTGATCTCCCCTTTTATGAAGTGTATGTTAGTATGCACATGTTTGTATAGTTTTGAACAACATGTGTCCTAGTTTAAATCAAATATTTGTTTATATAATTTGGACTTTATTTCTTACGTCAATGTTATGGATTGATTTATATCTAATTAGATCCAATTCTAGCTTGCTACCAAAATATTACATAACAAATCAATGCAAAATACATATTTTTCATGAAACAATATTGAAAAGACCCTAAAACTTGAGAAATACTGTCAAAAAAAAACTACGAAAATATGTTACGTATAGAAAGCATTAATTTATCAAGTAATACTAATTACAAATATGTATTATTTGAAAATAAAAACTTAAATGGAGTTTATTGCACAAATTTAATGAGATGGGCAGTGAATAGGTTGTCCATTAGTCATTATTAAAATCAATTAGACATTTGTTTTTGCAAAAACGTGCAAAAATGTGCTTGAAGACTTTCCTTAAGTTGTAACTAAATGGTTTCAATAGGTTTGAATCCTTCAGGAATTAAAGTCTGTTCTTTAGTAGCTGCGAAAATCAGATTTATGACTGAAGAATTCATTATACTATTATTGAAAATTCCTTAAAATTTATATTTTTTCAGACAAATCAAGCAAAGATGGTTCATTTGGCAGATTTGTTCTCTGTACCAGAAATGGGTTTGCTGTGTAATGTTGCTGAATATTTTAATAAGAATCATATAGATTATCACCCAGAGATACTCTTTTTGGATGTCAAGGTAGTATTTGCTTTATTATCTTATCTTCATTTGAGAGTATCTGTATTTATAGTTTAACTACATTCTTTAAATACATTTTGTCATAGATAGGAATTGATATAGTATTAAAATAATCTCAAGAAGTTTGTATGATTTTGTTCTAAAAACATATTTATATTATTGTTGTAAGTTTTCTCGCAACCAGCTCTTTTGAGTCCTCATTTTAGATTGTATTGTTAATGTAACAAGTGCTATCTTACGATTTCATGAGCATAATAATAAAGGAGACATTCAAAATTTTTCCTATTCAAGTTTCTTATTATTCTCCAATGAATTATTTTCGTTAAGTCGCCAGAGTGAATCATGCTATTTTGATTAAGTTTAAGCGTATATTTTTTTTATGAATTTCAATAACTTAAAAGGTTTTTAAATTTTTTAGTTGAATTAATGCGACATAAAAAATATAAGAATTAAAATATTTCAGAACTCTGTTCAACATTGTCATCCGATCATGCACAAAATCGTTGCTCAAAACGTGGAGGAATACGTGAGACCAAATTCAGGTCTTAAAAAATACTTTCGACTTCTTCAAGAAGAAGGAAAGAAGCTGTTTCTAGTCACAAACAGTCCCTTTCATTTTGTGTAAGTTTTTTTTAAATATTTAAATTTTTGTAAAACAATTATTAACTTGAAAAAAATGCATCGCATTTGACGCTGTTATTACTAATCGCATTTAGATGGAGCTTTAAAGAAAACAAATTTGCAAAGAATGAAAGTTGAAAAAGTATGTGGTTGAAATCGAAATGTTATGGAAATTTTTAATTTGAGGGATCCTTAAGTATTTAATGTAGATACAAGTTTGATTCAAAACCAAATGTATTATATTATTTATGTATTTTATTCTGTTAACGCATCTGAATTTCATAGTTATTTAAAAGACACCTAACAACCTAAATTTTTCATATTATTAGAGTGTATCAATACAGTGTAAATCCATTAACAACCTTTGATTTAACGACAAACCCCCTAAAACACACCATGTTTGTTACACTCTAATATTAACCCACTAATAAGACAATTAAATAATAAAAAGTATTTTTATGTTGGAAATTAATTAAAACTGCGGAACTGTGTAGTTTTTTGCGCTGTATTGTCCTAGCCCGTAAAACTCGACTGTCGATATCATAGTATCGAACTTTAGTACGTTCTTATGATTACAAATTGGGATTGCTTGCACGTGCTTTATCACAAAGATGCTCAATATCGCAAGATATGAATAAAAAAAAAAAGATGTGTTTATTCTTCTTTATTATTAAAATTTTTTATTCATCAAATAATATTAATTAAATTAAATAATAAAACTGGAAAATATTATAGTAATTAAGTTAGTTTAATTTAAAAATTAAATAAATAATTGTTTTTATTATTTTTAATTAAGTTAAATAATTTATTTATTAAAAGTTATATAATTATATATTTAGAACATTTCAAAACTAAGAAGTATGTTGTACTTTGGAGTATTCACAATATAAAATAATAAATTTTTTGAAAAATTAATCAAAATCTTTATTTGTTTAAAAGTAAATACAAATGTCATTATGTATTAAAATTTTGATACGAATTAATATTCTATTTTTTTTATTTAATTTTTATTTATCTCGTCGCACGCTATAATACTCAATTTTGTGTACAGGTGGGCATGTAAAATTTCACTCTCATAAATTTTTCATAACGCGCCTAAAGAAGTATAACTTCAAAAGGGTTCGTGTACTTATTACGCGCGTAAGAAGTTATACTTCTTTGGCTTTTTTATTTTTTTAAATATTAAATAATTAATTAATATTAATAATAATAATTATTATTATTTTATTATATTATTCATTCAATTTAATAACTAGTATGTTTCATAACCTTTTAACTAAGTAACAATAGGTCTTTGTGAAAAAGCATTGCTAAATTTCTTTGAAAGAATAATTAAAACTTCTTTATTTGTTCAAAAGGTAAATGTCATTATGCTCATTCAAAATTCTTGGCATAGCTCTTAACTTCACGCATATTCTATTTCTTTTTACTTGTAGATTGTCTTATTCCCATCTCGCTCGCGAACGCTATAATCACACTGACAACTTTGTGTCTCAGGTGCGCGCGCATCGTAAAATTTCACTCTCATCAATTTTTCATAACGCGCCTAAAGAAGTATAACTTCAAAAATACAACATAATTACTGGTGCAGCAAAAGACGACGAAAATAACAAACTATACGCAATAGCGTTCAAATAAGAATTGTTTTTTATGTAATTACTAACACTAGTCTCAAATAAACTATTTCTTTTTCTAATACAGATTTTTCTTTCCATTTAACGACAACTCTTTGTAAACGTCAAAATGACAAATGACCAGTCCCTTGAGTGTCGTTATATAGAGTTTACACTGTATATGTATTTAACCAAACCTCGTTTCAGGAATGCTGGAATGGAAATGCTTGTTGGTCACGAGTGGAGAGATTTCTTCGATGTCGTTATAGTAAATGCGAATAAACCTAAGTTTTTCACTGAAGTTTCAAGGCCAATTAGGGTGTTCGACAAAAATGCAAATACACATATATGGGAGAAAGTAACATCCTTAGAAAAAGGCATTATTTATTACGAGGTATATATATTGTTTTCCTTTTTTTTTCAGAAAAATTATGACTATTTTATTTTCTGGAAAATTGCTTATTAATTACATTTTCACCTCCATGATATTCGTCTTTCATATTAACGTGACTTCGTTTCCTAGGTAAATACCAGATATAATCAAAGAGTGTTCTTGGGTTTCATTTGCAATGCGACACGTATAGATTTCAATCGGCGATAGCAAAACCACACGGTTATTTAAAATGCATTACGATTAGTTCTAAAGCCAATTTTACCGGCGATAAAAATTAAACACTCTTTATAAAAATATACAAACAGCCGCCCGATAGGGAAGGCTGTCTTATTGATTTATTATTATTTTAATATTAAACGCTTAAAATTGAAATAATTGTATATTGATTATGAAATAATCCAAAAATATATAAAATTCACGACATGTAAACTAAATTATACCGTACCGTCGTTCTTACCAGGTGAATACTTTTTTTATGGCATATACTAAGTTAAAGTATAGTATGAAGGGCTTGTCTATAAACACGCTTTCACAAAAAAATGTTTTGTCTCCAGTTAATAGTCGAAGTTCGATATTTATTTTTCAAATAAATGGCTTTTTATGAAGCTAGGTGTCAACTGGCTTTAATCGTTTAAATCATGAGTTAATAACTAACATAAAGTTTTTTTTATAGAACGGGGGGCAATCGGGCAGGAGGCTTACCTGATGTTAAGTGATACCGCCGCCCATGGACACTCTCAATGCCAGAGGGCTCGCGAGTGCGTTGCCGGCCTTTTAAGAATTGGTACGCTCTTTTCTTGAAGGACCCTAAGTCGAATTGGTTCGGAAATACTTCAGTGGACAGCTGGTTCCACATAGTAGTGGTGCGCGGCAAAAACTGCCTTGAAAAACGCTCAGTTGTGGAACGGCGGACGTCGAGGTGATACGGGTGGAATTTCGTATTCTGCCTCGACGTCCGATGATGAAACTCAGCTGCAGGTATTAATCCGAACCGAAAGTTAGGGTTGCAAACTTATAAAAAAGTTGACTTATTTAAGGGTTCTTAAATGTAAGTGACACTTCTGTTACCTATAAAAAATATAGGTGTAGTCTACTTATTGGACATTATTGGAAACGAGAATCTTATATTACAATTTATGAGTGTATGAAAAACTTAAGGGCACATTTATTACTAAACTGACGTTTTACAATTAATTTGGTTCGCGCTTCTAATTATTAACTAATATATGTGTCGCAGCCAACTAGCTTAATTAGCCGTTTAATTAACAGGCTAGCCTTTTAACTTAACGGCGCCGTTTAACTAGCGGCCTGAAAGATATTCAGCCGTAGTGTTTGTTACAACATTTAATAAACTGGCTGGCTAATGCTTAGGCCATTCGTACGATAGAGTCATTATTTGGCAGAAATAAAAAAGGTGAAACATATGACATAAAAATATTTCTTTTAAAATTAAATTGCTTGAGTTAAATTCACATTATTATTCTATATATATGAAAATTTGGAAAACACCATCAAAGTTGTGGTTTGCCGACGCCATATTGACAGTTTGAAGAGTTTCGTTTCGAGTTTGAGAGTGGCAGAGAGTGGAATTAAATTTAAATTAACAGTCAACAAGCTAGGCAAGTAATGAAACGTCATCTATCCAAGTCATTTGCCTAGCTGTTTGATCAACTGGCTGCACATCTTTCAGGCCGCTAGTTAAACGGCGCCGTTTAGTTAAAAAGCCTAGGCTGTTAATTGAACGGCTAATTAAGCTAGTTGGCTGCGAAATATATATTAACTAATGTTAGATTACATAACTCTCGTTTATTTATTTTTATAATGACAAGGACAAAATATTTGGCTACTTGATGACTATTGTCATTTGTATTGATATGTGTTAATATACGTATTACCCCTGCTTAAAAAAAAAAAAAGACTAGCTAATTAAAACCTTTTCATAAATGTATAAGCTTCAAATTGGTATAATGTTTTATCCAGTTTTTTTAATTTCAAACTCGCATAAGAGTGATAAGGACAGAACATGTAATAGTAATACGAATAAAACATATATTGTATCAGGGTACAGTGAAGCAGATGCAAGATCTCACTGGTTGGAGTGGCCATCAAGTTCTATATTTCGGTGATCATCCATACAGTGATCTCGCTGACGTCACACTCGAACACGGCTGGAGGACCGGAGCAATTATTAATGAACTAACGGTATGCATAAATATTAAAATGTTAACTACCACAATGTTTAGGCTCAAAAAAACTTGACTGCTTTTGCTGCTGCCAAACTAAAAGGGGAGAATTTTAAGCTATTGCATAGATTTTATCTCGGGCTTTGAGCGCGGCGACCGAATCAAGAAATTCCGTAACGAAAATAACCTGACACACGATGACGTAATATACTAACGAACGACAGAACGCACTGCGTATTCACATCTCTCTGACGAGATCGGTGACGTAGCGTAAGCGCGGCCGGAGCAGCCTGTACGCGATAGAGTGAGACAGACTATATAGGCGTTTTAGTCTGAGTCTGGTAGATTGAATTAATATCTAAGAAAAAAAATACTGCCTAAATATAAAATAAATAAATAATTCGTTATAATTGCATAAGTTGATAAAAAATGCTGTGCAATAGCTTTACCGCGGCAGTCCCCGAGTGTTACACGCTTTTTTTATTTACAATAGCTTGCCAACGCTAGGCACATTGGTACTTATTGGCAAACAAAACAATCAAACAGAGAAAAAATTGTAAAACTAAAGAAAAATTGAATTCGAAGTGTGAGGGAAGCAGACCTGGCTCAATCTGGATATCGGTGAGCTTTTATCAAAACGAGTTATTCTGAAAGGAGGAACTATTGGCGTTGGGTATCTTGAGGGTATACAAGGGAATTTAAGTTTCATTTAAAGCATTACAGTCTTGATATTTCATACCAAAAACTGAATCTACTTATGCTATTAACTTCTTCACAAATGGTGCATTACCTTCTGGATTCCAATTCCGGCGAAACAATAATTGTCTTGGATTAAAGTCACATAAGGCTTATACTTACCAATTTGGGACAACAGAATTTAATCAAACAAAACATACGTATATATTAAAAGCTATAAATATAAAAAAAACTTATTCTTACTTAAACGAAACCTTAATTCATAGTAGCTCATAATGTTTAATATATTTTAATTTATTCAAATTTAAATAATTTCAGCATGAAATAAACACACTGAACACAAATACGTTCAAACAGAACGCGAACTGGCTTCAAATGCTCACCCAGCTTATCGAGGACCACCAAGACTATAAGCAGCCTGAGGCCCTAGAGATCATTGAAAAATGGATGGCTGAGAGAGATTACCTCAGGTAATATGACGTGTTATCTCCGGTACATCGGTTAAAAAAATTGTTCTGGGCTATCAGACATTGTCAGCAGTTTTGGCCCAGTGGCTTAGGCTTCGAATCACGGCTATGCACCAATGGACTTTCTGTCTATGTACGCATTTACGAAAATATCGTGAGGAAACAGGTATGCCTAAAAAGTTGACGGAGTGTTAAGTATGGAAGGCTTTTATCAGAACCTTGTGACCTCTTAAAACGCAGATAGCGAGAATAGAACAGACAGGATTTAGATCTTACTAGTTTGACCGTTTGTTGCTTTTGACCATGCAGTGAAACAAAACAGTTTTAAAATCTTATAAAAGTTTGAGTACGGAAACCTATAATAACAAAGCTGTAGAACACTAATATTTTTTTCTTTGGACATTTGTCTTTTGTTAATGCCATTATGTAGCTCTTTTATCTGTCCCTATTTATATTAACATCAGAAACCAACGAAAATTAATAGTTTGATAAGCGTAGGTCGACTTCGTTTTTGTTTCATTATAATTTACATTTCTCGGAAACTGAGTCTTGAGTCAGGTGTATTAGATAGCGAACAGTCCAACTTTCATAGAAATCAGTTTAGTAGCTTTGAGATATTAAGGGATTTCTCAAGGGAATATGAAACTGGATTAAATTTTTCTAAATTAGGTACTGCTATTATAATTTTTTCAGTATATGTACTAGGTATATAATCCATTCACTCCGAAATGTGTCTTAGCTTCCTAAACGGGATCCTTTCAACGCTCTCCGTCCCGGTTCACTTCTCACCAATGGCTGATTTTAGAATAATATATGTATAGATAGACACTAGCTGACCTGGCAAACATTGTTTTGCCATATATATCATTTATTATAAAAAATAGGGGTTGATCGTAGAGGGGTGAAAATTAGGGGTTGTATGTATTTTCTGTATCATAAAAAAAAATATCTAAAAATTAAAAAAAATAATTAAGGGGTGTACTACCCTTAACATTTAAGGGGATGAAAAATAGATCCGATTCTCAGACATACCCAATATGCACACAAAATTTCATGAGAATCGGTCAAGCCGTCTCGGAAGAGTTTAACTACAAACACCGTGACATGAGAATTTTATATATAAGATATATTTTGAAAATATAAAATATTTAGTATTAATTTATCTTTTCAGAAACGCAACAAAATCAGTATTCAACCCTCAATTTGGAAGCGTCTTTCGCACATATCACAATCCCACATACTTTTCAAGGCGTTTATTCCGATTCGCGGACATCTACACGTCAAATATAAGACATCTACTTAACTACTCACTCACTCACACGTTTTACCCTCGTCGTGGTGTAATGCCACACGAATATGGATCGTATTTCGTCTAGGATAAGGAAACCACAACGAACAGTATATTTTGCATTATACACGCACAGTATTTGTTAAGAATCATGAAATCAACGAAACTTTGAAGAATATTGTATTTTTTAACGTGTTTATTCCATGTATATAAAAAACAAATTATATATATCTAAGCTTACGGTTAGATTAGGCGGCTCAAAAATCAAATAAAAATGGTCACACGCTTGAACAGAGACGGAACAACTGTGCAAGCAAGACTATGATTACCTTTTATATAAGTTACTTCTATATCATTGTTTTATAAATTATACTTTTACCCGCCCCAAAGAAACAATGTTGAAAATGTATATATTTTATTACTAGTTTTGTTTTATCGGTTTTGTTTATTATTATCTCATAAGCGTAGATTTTATGCAATGAACGGTATTTTTACTTCCATATTATTGAACCAACGACGTATAGCCCTTTGTTCTTAAACGCACTAAGCTTCAACTAGCTATTTAATGCATTGTCCTTATTACTCTCTTGGCATTTAGAAAGTATATAAATGAGACAAAAGATTCATGACTATATCCGGTTTTCGTAGTGCGTTTAGGAATATATGAAATTAGTTTTTGATAAATGGATACCTGCGTTTAAGTATTACGTAACGAATTTTGGAGTGGGGGTCCTTTTGTAAAACGTTACGATGCGGGGCGGGAATTGAATTATGCGTTGTTAATATTATTTTCGACTTTCCAGTACTTTACACCACATAATGGTAACTTTTAGCAATAAAGAGTCACTGGATGGTCACGAAACGTTTTAATATTGGGTACAGTAAAACGTTACGGCGTGTTACATGGGGGGGTTTAAATAATCTCAAAAAATTGCGTGACGTAATACTTGAACGCTCCCTAAAACGCCGTCAAGTCATTAACAGTAGGCATAAAAATCTATACGCTCTATCTATCGCTATCTCTGAACGCTTTTAATCTACGTTACATTGATAGTTCTCTATGAAAAAACATGTATGTCATGTATTATAGAAAATCTCAAGATCGACTGGTATTATAGAAAGGTAATGCTCAATAGTAGTTCCTATTAATTAGAAAAACTATCTTATGTAATCATTTAAATGTTTTCATAGCGGATTTATAAATGGGAGTTACAATTCAATGATAGCCATATCAATTAAACTAGTCAAATTAAATCAAACTGAAACAATCATCTCGTTTTATTTAAGTAATTTTTTACATTAGAATGTTAAACATCAAATCAATGTTTTATTAATTTATAATTTGTTTAATGTTTTGTTAACTAACGTTTCTATTTAGTGAACACAGTATTGTAATTATACGTACATTATTGATTTCTTCGCTTGATTTATAACAAGCGCTGGATATCGTAAGAGGTATTATATCGGTACTTTGACATACTATGTTCTGGAGTTGCCATAAAACTAAAAATGGGAAGCTTCTTTAAATGCGTAGGACGTAAAGTTTTGGTTTATGCCCTTAAAATAAACTGTTAAGATTTTTGCTCTTTTATGTTCTTAAATACATTTATAATCTATTGATGTTTCATCAAATGATCACGTGTCAAAATCTACGTCCTATTGTGATGAGTAATAGGCAATTTGTTCTTGTCAATAATATGAAATACGATTTTAGATTTGCTAAGCTATTTCAGAGTGTTGTGTGCCAAACACCTAATTTATTACTATAGTTATAGTGAAAGTGATCTTGCCATAGATAATTCTCATTGTTCACGCATAGATTAAATTTAATTGTTAAATACTTTTTTTTTAAATTTTAATTGTTGTATTATTTCTTTTGTGAAATATGTTATCTCAGTCAATTAAAGTAGAGATATCTGAACACTGTGCCCCTTAAGATAACATGTGCCATTAAACAGTTATTTGTGTCAAACTAACGTGTTTTATTACTATATCCGTGGACTATAATTATCGCAAGCATATTCTAGCGGAAACCTCTCATATAACAAGATTAAAAATGCCTTTAAAAAACTAATTTTTATTTTAGGTAGCCTTGAACCTATTTAAAATATGACTACCAGTTTATGTTATAATATATTTATAATTAGAAAACTGGGTATGCAGTGTCGATCAGAACAAGATTTTCAGCTTTCAATGTTTTCGTTTGGATGGTGAATGGTACATTGTTGTAGTGCAACTTGCAAGGACGGTCCGGACGAGCCATAAAGCATAGGGTATACAAGGCTGTCTCTAGTTCAGGGGATGTGCCGACAAACATGGTGATTTCAGGAGCATCCTTGGTCTCACTAAGGATCGAATGTTGCTTGAGAATCAGCCCTTTCTGTGAAAAGTATTAACTTTTAATTATGGCTTTTGTACATTTTATTCTACAAGTAAACAATAGTTTCATAACTAGAATTTTGCGTTTCAGTTTTATTGCTTTATAATTTTGCCCAAAGTCATCACATGTTATTTTTTCACTAACATTAAAGATATATGGTAAGAACAATTCAAAAAGCAAAACTATTTGAATATAAAAATCTGTCCTTTAAAATATTAGAAGCTGTTCTTGGACATTCATGCAAAAACTGCTAACGCTATCTTTTGACATTCCACAATATTATTGGTCACTTTTAAATTATTTTTTTATTTATGTACACTTCATTGCCATAGTACACTACACATAATTATACATATAGAAAAAAACAAAAAGTAAGTAGGTTACTTAAGTTATTAGGCAACGGGCGGCCTTATCGCTAACAAGCGATTTCTTCCAGGCAACCCTAAAATGGATCAATAGAAAAAAAAAGAAACACCTACAGAGGGTAAAGTACAAGAGATGCATGATTAATTAATAAAAAGATACCAAAAATAACATGCAACTAATACTAAAATTAAAGAAAAGGTATAAATAATAGTACTTATGTATAAACAGATATTTATATCTTAATATATATATTTCTTGTGTGCGTGTGTATGTGACTGAACTCCTCCTAAACGACTGGACCGATTTTGATGAAATTTTTTGTGTGTGTTCAAGGGGATCTGGGAATGGTTTAGATTCACAAATCAGCCCGGCAGATGGCACTGCAGTCGGTACTTTCATACTTTGCTTAATATCCAAATCGCTTTAAATATCATGCAGGACAACGTCTGTGGGGTCCACTAGTATATATATATATATATAATATATATTAATCACGAGGCAGAAAAAAGATGATCAAAATTACATAAGCAACTGCGTTTAAGTCCAATAAGGTCAGTTTATCCTTAAATAAATCTAGTATCAAGTTACACTGAGATCATCACAATTACAGAATTCTACAATCCCATTAAAGTTGAGTCATGGTAATAACACATGCTTTATGATAGAATCAACAAAAAGGTTGCGTATATTCTGTAATTAATATTTATTTCATTTTATGATTTTCGATAATGGAAGATATACATGGACAAGAAAGTATAATGATAATGCAAGGTTTACTTACTCCTCCTAAGTCCAGTTTGTCGATGTAGCCCAAGTAGTTAGCTTTACGGTCCGTTTCTCGCTTCGCAAAGAACAACCAGCTGTGTAGACCTGAAACATGTTGAATTATTAAACCATCCTGAAATTTTTTATAGTAAAAAATATTAACCTATGTTTTCTCTCATATTAAGTTATCCGAAAGGAAGGATTTGAAAGACAAACCAGTACTATATCGTAACATTACGATGACACCAGTTATTATTTAAAAGTTTATAAAAGCTTTATATTGCCTTTAACGAGAAACTTATAACATTTTAATTGAGACTTACCTAAAACTTGGTCGGATTTCAGTTCAGCCATGAACACGTTCTCAAACGCGCAACTACATTTACAGAGACCTGTCCAATGACGGGCATATTTCGTAAACCAAATTTTTTTCAATAACTCCACTTGCTCCGGATATTCATTCATTTGATTAAGACCTGTTAACATTAAAAGTGTTATTTATCTTCTGATAAAAGAGAAATATTGCCTCTTAAGGGATTTATTACTTGCCTTTGCTCACCAGGAAAGTCATCAAACTTCTCATTGGACCAGTAGCAAGGATAGTGTTAATGTATGTGACTTGTTCAGTCTCCTCCTAAAACATAAAAACGTAGGCTAACTAAATAGTAGTATTGTCTGTTTAATGTGTATCCAAGATATAAGACAAAGCATTGCTTAACTTCAGACTAAGCAAAATGAAATTTTTATAATTTTAGGACTTAAATATAATAATTTATTCTTTGTAGTCAATTATTATTAGTGAGAAAATGCAGCAAAACTTGATTAATCATATTTGTGTGGTTGACAAGCAAAATAGCCTTTGAATAAGAAAGGTAAAATAAATACAATATAATATCGACATATAAATTTTTGTTATCAAAATATATCAAACGTGCTTACATTTGGTGTTACGAACTCTGGCCTTATCACGTTCTTGTGATAATTATCAAATAGTGCCGCGAACGGCCTGATTGTCGGTCCATTCCACACGTTCTCCGGGACATTTAAAAGACTGAAAAAAAAAATTGTAAACATTTTATACTTGAATTGCTTTAACCAAGTTACGTTACTTTACTTTACCTTGGGTAACAAGACTTTTCTTAAATAATTCAAAATTGTTTATTTATATAGGTACCATAATGTACACTTATGAACGTCAAAAAATAAATATATACATGAAATGTATCTAATTTTACTGCCAGTTCTCAAATAAAGAGCGTAGAACGGAAGAGAAGAAACTCTTCTCCACTCTTTTAAATCGCCAAGTTTTTGTTTTACACCATGTTCCACATGTCATACTCGTATTAAGTAGGTAATTAATAATAATACAATAAATTAAAAACAAAGATTTATCCTTAATCAGGAGGCATTGTGGAATATAATCACGCACTTATATTCTCGAGGGAAAAGATGTGATAAATAAGTATTTAGAAAAATACATTCTTACCTAGACTGTGCTTCATCGCTCTTTGACATAGGGCTCGTTTTGCCTTGCAAGTTCACTTGAATATAGTTTAAAGCGTTGTTTATGTCAGCGTTGAACATTTCCTCGCTGATGCGGAGAAGGTCCTCATCCGTTGTCGAGTCCTGGACCTGTTTAAGCATCTCTTCATAGCTCTTTTTCTTAGCATAATCAACCACGCCACCGACGACGGTTCCGATTTGCTGGAGTGTGTTTGAAGCGGTGTTGCCCTGCTGTCCGGTAACAGAGTTGCCGATTAAGTTTGGCAGGATACTATTGAATATTTGACCTGCAGCTGAGGCAATATCGTCGGCCATGGAAGCCCCCACACAAAGGAATAATATGAGAACAATCCTCATTTTGGCTGATACACAACAACTATAGTTCGTTTACGGCGTACTAGTGATCCTCGTGCTCCGTAGCAGCGATACTGCACGACCTTTGGATTACGTCATCTACTCTGTATGGACCGAGATATGGCACGTTAAGATTCAGCTTGCGGATTTCCAGTTTTAGCATTGCTTGTTGTTGCGAATTGGTAATGAGAATCGCTATGTTGTACACAAAATTGACCTTCATCTTTATTAACACTTGCCGTAATGTGCTATATAAAAAATTGTTTCACGTTTATTGTTTTCTGCATGAGGTACCTACAGTACTTACATTGAGTAAAATAGATTTTAATGTAAATATTTTATAATATATGCAATATTTATATATAAAAGAAACTCGAATAGGCTAGACAAGTTATAATGAGCACTTTAAATTATATGTAGAAAGTGGTCAATTAAATAATACGAGTGAGTTTTTGAAAATCATACATGTGAACATAAAAGAAAGTCCGTTGGAAAGATACTCAATAGAAGCCCACGGTCGCAGCCGAGCGCGCACGGGCAATGCAGCTTGCGTGATGCGCGCACGTCGGGAAAAATCTTATTTTACTTTATGTATTATGCATCATCTTAAAGCATCTCCGCTCGGGTGCTGTTAAAGAACTGTACAAAATAACCGTAATACTTATTTGTTGTTATTTATACTAAAACATTTGAGACACTCTTATGTAATGCGCGATATGTTTATCAGAAATATGAAATTATATATAGCTTTCTCGTTATTCTGCAAGACTACACGAACTTCCGACATTTAATATGAAACGTAAGTTTTTATTAACATAGACGGATGCTTCAATTTACCTACGATTGTGTAGTTGAATACTAAACAAGACATTTTAACAAATCATTGTCATACCATATTTTTTAAATTCAAAGAAGCATTTAAAAAATCAGTAGCGCTACAACCTCGTCAAGGTCTGGGCCTCCGATTTTTGTATATGTTTCATGATCGTTTGTCAATCTAATACAGCAAGTTGGTGATCAGCCTGTGCCTGACACACGCCGTCAATTTTTTGGGTCTAAGGCAAGTCTGTTTCCTCACGATATTTACCTTCACCGTTCGAGCAAATGTTAAATGCGCACATAGGCAGAAAGTATATTGGTGCACAGCCAGGGATCGAACCTACGACCTCAGGGACGAGAGTCGCACGTTGAAGCCAACACTGCTTAAATAATCAATATGGATATATTTCTTACCTAAACAAATGTTTATCGAACACTCAGATTATTTTATTGCCTAAATATTTTTAATTAATGTTGACCCCATGCGAAATATAACATAATAAGAAGCTAGCTAATAAGCTAAGAGACTCATAAGTATAAATTGTTTACATCAAATAAAGTTACCTACAGTTTTAATCTCAATACTAAGAAGAACATATCATAAGGCCACGACTTGTAAAGGTCAATCGTGTAGCTATCATACCCGACCAGTGAATCGAGAAGGCTGACGCGGCCCCGACATATTACAAACAAGCTCCAACGATTCAGTGTCAAAATATATTAGTCTATAGTCTATACCTACACGACAGAAGTACTGTGCGCGGTGGGAAAATGAAGCTGTACGCATTTGTTATACTCCTAGCCTTTTGTTACGTACAATGTGAGTATTCTCAACTTTCATAAATACGCAAGATATAATCTTAGTCAGCAAATTAGTTGAATGTTTAGAAATTTTCGCATCCCATGTCAACTTTTGTTTGGGATTACGGATAAGTATGTACTATTCAAATTAGTATAATTTGTCTTCTTTAGGGGAAAGACAAATTATACTTATTATATGAAACGGAATTTAATTAATTTATCAGAGATAAGACTGTTAACTATTAATCTATTTTAAATCTTTTACAGGCAAAAAAACATATGCGCCCATAGACAAAAATGCCAACATAGCATTCATTAACATGGAAGCGGGTGGTTTGGGAACGGGTAGTAAAAAAGTCCAACCTACACCAGCGCCTAGCAAAGCCCCGGTACCTCCAACTCCAGCTCCGCAACCTGTAACTACATTTAAATCAGCACCGACTACTGTTAAACAGGCCCCGATACCAGTGGTACCAGCAACCAACCCTCCTGTTCAAATCAGACCAAAACCAGTAAATCCTAGTCCTGTTGTTAATCCAATAACAACCCCTGGACCTGGTACCGTCAAGCAGCTTGTCAACTTCTACGATAGCCAAGGAAAAGCGAGCCCTATTCGCCCCTACAGTTACAGCCAAGCAGTTAAACAAGGCTAAACTATTTAGAAAGATTGTTACGTAACTCAAATTTTGAGTAAAATGCTTTGACCAGTATAGCAATAAATAATGATTAATATATACTTAATGTTTTTATACCTTAGGCTAATTTAGAAATTACGAGTTAATCTGGTCAGTATCGCGATTATCAACCGGATACATCTCATGACATAAAAGGCAACTTAAGGCGTAAATAATTGTCGTAAAACCTATTCTAAGTGAAAGTAAGCTAGTTCCGGAACGGGGAATGCGAGGGAGACATTTTCTTGGGTATCTTGGGCAAATTATAATTGACTTCGAAATGCACCGATAAATTAGATTAATCTGTTTTTAAAACCTTTACAATCGATTCATTTAACGATCTTATTATTTTCATGATTATTTAGAAATTCAAACTAAAACAGACACACCTAACTTTATAATTGCTATGTCATTTGATAATTCTTTGTTGACTGATTTATGTTCTAATAAATGCTATTAGAATGAAGCAAGTGTCGATAAGTTCATATTAATTTGATTATGTTCTAAATTTATAGACTATCCTTTAAAACTTCGGTCAAGGACAACCGCTAAGCTGGACCCAAAGTTTTGGCCTTCTACCATTTCTGAATACCAAGTTTATGTTATATTTAAACTCGTAAATCCTAAATAATCGGTTCCCTCCTAAATTATTGGTTATAACCAACTTAATATTATGTCAATGCCCGTTCGGTGTAAGTTCAAACGGATGGGGTCGGCAAATGTGCTACTTTCACTTTCGATTGTGAGTCAGACGGCTGTTGCGTCTACAGGACCTTTTGCAGTGCACAATACGTACACACGACATAATATTGTGTAAGGCGTCCGCTTTTAGAATGCATTAATAATTATACTTTGATGCGTCATTTTGAACTTATCTTTGGACAAGTGACATAATTTAATTATAAAGAATAGATAACAAGTGTAGCTCTTCCAGGGTTTCTTTAATCTGCTCACAAATCTAGCAGTGTGGTAGGTGAAATCCTTAGATCTTATTCTACAAACTACAAGGTTGCGCATTTAACAGATGCGAGAAATGCGTAGTTAGCACCCTGCCTATGGTTGAATTTGCCTTCTAACGCCAATTTTCAAAGGAACTGGGATAATCTTCTTTTTATATTTAAATTCCAAAACTTATAAGGCTGATAGCAGTGGGGAACCCGGCACTTGATTTAATGCTTATCCTTCACCAAACATCTTTACATGGTATCCTTTTGGACACTGAACCACTTTAAATTGCCACCATTTCCTTCATTTAGGAGTTCTTCCTGTAAGTGTCCCTGTGGCACTATAGTAAGTATAGCCTGCCAGGTACCATGGCCCCCATTGCCAAATGAGTGCATATATTTGTCCCTTGAAGGATGGGATAGGTTCAAGTGCACAGGCGCTAAGATTTAAGTTGGCGCGTGATAGATAGAATTGTTGACCCCAGAGCTGGTTATTTCCTCGCTGAACGAAGAAATATCGCAATGCAGCATGCAGGAAATTCTGGCAGCAATAAAGGTACACTGTCACAAGGACCAAGCTTTTTAACTTTATTTTAGTTTTCTATCTATCCATTTTGGATTATGATTAATTAATTTCGAAGAAAACAAAAAATAATTGCCAATTTTAAGTTGGAATTAATGGACGAAATAGACGACGAATTGTGAATCTGATCTATGGTTTATAAGTATTGAAGCTTAGTTAAAGAGATGTCTATGGTCTTGTCTATCTACTAGTCTATGTTAGTTATGTCATAGACACAATATTTAACAAGTAGGTTTAAATTAAATTTAAAGTATATAACTACAAATAAGTTAACATTGAAATATTATTTTTAAAACCCACATTACGCAACAATACTAAGTATTATAACATAAAATTATTAAACTTCTTTTTATATAGCGCTCGTGTATTAACAATTTTACGCTTTCTAGTGGTCTCTTCATCCGGTTTAAGAGGTAAATCAGAACGTCATATTGAGAATGATGAGAAATATTATATTTATATATTTGTATCGGTAGTTAAAACTAAAGCAGTTCACGACATTTTTAGAGTTTATTATTTATTCACCCTCGTAACCCTCTATTGGGAATAGATAGGGTACACCAGTATTTTCATGTGTTAAATTGTTCTTTTATTATTAGCAAATAGGTGATAAATTTTTTTCAAACAGTCTTATCAAAATTTAAAGAAGGTATACTTCTAAATGCGAATCTCTAAAACAACGAAAATAATATTTAGATGTATTATTACACCTTCATAGTTACATAAAGCTTAAAAAGCATTAAATTTTCACATTTACAACATTAATTAGTACAAAGCTATTAACATGAGGATTTAGTCATTAAGAAATTGAATTAGTCTAAAAATTAAAAAGAAATATGTCGTAATTAGTAAGCTAGTTGAGCCCCGCAGTTCATCTATATAAATTCGGCCTAAACATCATGTTCATGTCTTCCTTTAAAACAAAATAATTTGTTCCATTCGAACCAGTATCTCCTTATGTAAGGTCGTTCAACAAAGCAACGTTTTATACATAAAGCCTAGATAAGATTCAGTGAATTTTAATAAAAACAAAAAATATAAGCGGACAAAGTCGATTCGTCACAGTCGTCGGAAAAGGTAACCTATAGTTATTATTTAATGTAAGTTGCAAACAAGAGATTATTGATTAGCATTCACGCGGCGAAAGTGGTATTCAATTTTGTAGCAATGTTATGTAAAATAATCCCATCAACTTTACAAGCTATAAACTTATAAATTGACTATATAAAGGTTTTACTGAATTACCGTTTTATGATGATTAATTAATTTTAAAAGATTTATCTCACCTACTAAATGGCATTACGCAATTTATAACTCGCCTCCATGGCTTAGTGGTTGACCTATGTGGTTATGGTGGTCGATTCCCGAAGAAAAAATTGTTTCAGACTGAAAGAAGGTTGATCAGAAGACCCATGTGAGAGATGAAACTTCGAACAACTCATTTCGTTCCAGTAATGGAACAGGAACCATGCGCAATATAAGAAATGCATAATATCGGGAAAAAGAGATTTCACTCTCACTGGTGATGTTGATGGATACGTTTTAATGTTAGTTCAAAGGTCTGAAATATATCATAAACTGACTTCGTTCTAGCCAATTTCATAAAAGTCAAAAGTCAAAAATCATTTATTCATGTAGGTAACACAATGTACACTTATGAACGTCAAAAAAATAAATAAAATAAAAATAAAATAAAATATGTTTATTATGGAACATAAGATACATGTATCTTATTCCACGTCATTAAATTTCAATTTGTAGGCATACCTACTCATCCAAAAGACAGAGGGTGTAGGCCAAGAAAAATCCGGCGTAAAACTCTCGGTACTCTTTTAAAATAGCAAATCATCAAACAACACTTATTTTAAAACAAATATCGCAAATTAATTAAGGTAGCCTGTCTAGCACTATCCCAGGCCCTTTTATCAACTAGATAATCGTTGACTTTATAGTAAGCCTTTTTACACAGCTTTTCTTTAATACATTTCTTAAATTTATTGAAAGGCAGAGATAAAAGAGCCTCTGGGATTTTATTAAAGAAGAGTATCCCTTTCCCCAAAAAAGAATTACTAACTTTAGATAGTCTAGTACGGGGAAATTGCAGCCTGCGTTTGATCCGTGTATTAACATTGTGCGTATGTTTTATTCTAGTAAACTTATCACTATTTTTGTATACATACATAATATTTTCATAAATATATTGCGAGGGAAAGGTAAGTATATTAATTTCCTTGAATTTGTCTCTAAGAGATTCCCTACATTTTAAATTATAGATTGCACGAATAGCCCTCTTCTGCAGGATGAAAATAGTTTCGACATCACACATGACCCCATAATAATAAGCCATAAGTCATTAAGCTATGAAAGTAACTAAAATAAACAAGTCTACTGTATCGACATCAGTTAGTGAGCGAATTTTTTTAACCCGTAGGCTGCAGAACTAAGCCAATCCGTTAATATGAGGGGACCACTAAGTTTTGAATCCATGGTGATTCCGAGAAATACAGTTGTATCATCCAATTCAATTCCTCACCGTTTATAATTGGTCTAGTATCCATAACCCTTCATTTTTCACAAAATTTAATGCATTTTGTCTTTTTTTGCATTAAGTAGAAGGTTATTCATACTAAACCAATGACAATCGAAGATAGAGCATTTTCACATCGTCAAAGTTTGTTATTTGTCGTTTGATTTTAAAAATCAAGGACGTGTCATCTCCAAAACTATCCGATGTTTTCTCTCTCCATGAAAGGTAGATCATTTATATAAACAAGAAAGAGGAAAGGGCCAAGAATTGAGCCCTTGGTACCCCAAATCTACTCCGACCCAAACCTCTTACCATTCACTTCAACCTTCTGCGTTCTTCCGTGTAAATAGGAAGTCAGAAGATTCAGTGCGGTATTCTTGATGCCATAGTGACGGAGTTTCCCATTAAGGTCTCGTGTGACACAATCAAATGCTTTGGATAAGTCGCAGAAAACACCTAAAGCGTCATCGACTCCTCCCAAGCCTTAACTATATATCTATATAACTCAACACCGCATCGCTGTCGAGCGACCCTTGGTAAAACCGAACTGATTATTATGTAATAATTTGTTTACGTTAAAATGACTTACCAGTTGATTTAATATAATTTTTTCAAATATTTTACTACAAGTAGGTAGTACGGAAATTGGTCTAAAGTTACTGGGGTCGGATATACTACCTGCTTTAAATAAAGGAATACTTTACTATGTTTCATTAGATCGGGAAACTCCCACTTTTATACAATTGTTGAAAATTATAGCTAGATGGGGAGCAATTACATCATTATGCTACTAATTATTTTTACAGAAATATCCCAAAATCGTAGTGTTCTTAATGTCCAATGTTCTAAATATCCTAACTATATCGTCGGCACCAATGGGTCGGAATGTAAAACTGACCTTGCACTCGTTTACATTATCTTTGAG